ATATATAGTTCTGAAAATGAACTGAACTGAACTGAAGATTTCGAATGTGGTGCAGGAACATCGTGGACGTTTTGACTGCTGGTATCTGATTACAAAATAAATTAATTAGCCTTATGTCCATTTCTTTACAGCATGTAGCTAACACTTGACATTGACTGTTTGAGGAAATCTTTTGGCAAACTGACTGTTTTTACCTCCCTTGCAGTTGTTAAACTGGCTCCTTATACAAATGCGATCTTTGCAGGAAGATATCATAGACAAGATTAAATTAAAAACATGTTTCCATGCCATTCGTCATTCATTCTTCTTCAGTAACCACTTTATCCAGAGACTATCCTGGGAACACCGGGCACAAGACGGGAGAATTCATCCCAGAGATGCCAGTTCATCACAGTAAGCACATTCACACCATGCACACACATTCACACCTAGGGCAATTTAACATAGCTAATCCCCTTACCAGCATACAGTTTTCTTACATTTGAGATATCAAAGCACATTATAGGCAAAAAAAAAATTTTTTTTTGGCTGTTTGCTATAATTCAGGCACAGCAACACTGATAGCTTTTCCCAGACCACCACACATACAGTATATCACAATCTATGAGAAAAAAAATTCAAGAGTTACTCTTCACTTTGAGTTGATAGTCTGGATAGGCTAATATCCCACAGCGTGTGCATACTGAGGTGTTAATTGTGAGAATTTGGAAGTGTGGAGTCAGTATACTGTAAGGGTGGCACCTTGGCATGCTGTTAGTCGAAGTGTTAATTTGGTCGAGGGCTAAAAATGTGCACACTTAGACCCGTGGAAGGCAAGTGCTGAGCGGCAAGGTTTGTAAGACAAATGGAGCGTCTCTTGGGGTCGAGGTGCAAGGTATGTAGCGTGCGCAAGCTCACTGCACATGCAGGCCATATGGATGCGTCTGTCAAAACTGTGAACTCATTTAAATTCCAAACTATTGGTGTGGCTTCTAAAGCATCAGACATGAAAGCAAAAAGTTTATGCTGAAGAATAGGGTGTGAAGTAGCTGGGGCTATTTTCCACATTCAGGAGAAGTGCCCAAGAATATCTTCTGATGCATACCACATATTTTTCCGTGACAACTCAAAAGAAACAAACCATGATAAATGTTCTTTCTAAATGTGGGCGCAACATTGCGTGTTTATATTATGTAAACCCATTTGCTGCGTCCTAAGTGCTATCGCATTTGCAAGTGCTGATGTTTATAGCAGGACCGGGTGTCAAATATGTCTGTCTTATTAACCCACAGCAGCAGGAAGAGGTCTAGTACTTTTTTTGCTTAGAAGTATTAAAAGTAATTTTATATTAGATGGAAGGGTTTTTTTTTTTTTAAATTTGGAGCGATTTTTTTGGCTGCTCAGTGTTCACTTTCCTTTGCAAGTAAGATTGAAGACCCTGGCACTAAACACTTGATACACCCAAAGTTTTTAATTGATTTATTCTGCTTTTCAGACTCCTCGTGGTTTGCTTAGGCACATCTTTGCCCCTCATGTGAAAAACCAAATGCTACCTAAAATATTAAATCTTGTTAGCTCTTTTGTCCTTAAATGACACAGTTACCCAAGAGACTTTCTAATTCCTTGGGGTCTCCTGAAATGTGGTAGGGGTAGCTGCTCATTGTTCACTTTCCTTGATTTTTTTAATTTTTTTATTAAGAAAACTGGGCCTCAGGGGACAATCCTGACACTTGACAACAGTGACCTTTGGCAAAGAGTGTTATACAATAAAACACAGAGCCTCTGTAGGCCATTAGCTTGAAAACTGAAACTTTTTTTTTTTTTTTTTTGATTTAGCCTTTTTGCTTCATCACCATGGATTTCAAATGAAAAAAATGACTTTAAGATTTAAAGGGCAGAAAGTATGCTTTAATTGATTAGTGGACATTCTGTACTCTGGATCAAACAGAGCTCATTTTTTTCCCTCTGTACTTTTTATAGACCTTATTTACAAAATGTAACCCGGCCTTTCTGTTCCTGAGGCTTGCCAGAGGTTTGTATCTTTATGGTAAATCCTCTGAGATCATTCTGTCCACTAATTTGTGTTTGTTTCGTAACAAAGCACTAAACCAGAAGTCTTCAATCTTATCTGTCAAGGCCTTTCATTCCAGTCATATACATAGCAGCTATACTTAATAGTCAACTGAAAAACAAGAACAGCTGATTAAACGGGGAGGGGTGGGGGGGTGGGGGGGTCAGATGTGGCTCCTATTTGGCTGGAATGAAAACCTGCAGCTACACCAGTCTAATATGTATGAAATGTTATTCTGATTTTTCAATTCGATTAAATTTGACATTATTTCTATAGCACTTTTGAGAACAGACAGTATGCATAAACAATAGGCTGCAGAAATATGGATGTAGATTTAGATCCCTAATGAACAAGCCAAAGGCGACAGGAGAAACCAACTGGAACCCATCTTCTTTTAGGTGGGATTATAAATCATTACAGTATACAGGTGTAGAAGAGTAAAGGCAAACTGTACAGTGTCTTGAATGGATGTTCAGTATAAGTATATTGGGATGAGCACAGGGCTGGCTTTATGGTTACAACAGCAGTTCTTAGATACAAATCTACATGATCCAGGTGAGATTATCCACTGATGCAAAGGTGAGTCATGGTCATAAATCGTTTATGGGAAGTGCACATTTTTAGGGCATCCATGTGTGACCGACCACAGCAGCAGAAAGTGAGTCACAAGTACAGAAAGCTCCAAGCAGAAGAAGAGCATCAGGATGAGTTAGGGAGATACAACAGTAAATGTGTGTCTGTCACCGGCATCACATCAGGCATCAGGTGTACATGTATATGTTTTCAGCTTCTTAAAATCTGCTTTACTGGCACTTCTATGGCCCTGACGTGAAATACCAAATGCTACCCTAGAGGCAACATTCCAATGACGTATAGTCTCTTAAAATGGGGTGGAATATGTATAGGCCTGTGATTAATATACGGCTCCCCAGTCTAGAAATAAATCCATTTGACTTAACGCTCATATTTTGCACTATATCCACTTTGTAAGTGTTTCATTTCAAGCCCAACGTGTATAAATATAGACATAACAGAACTAATACTGTGTTATGAGCTTTATACTGTATATACTGTATATAAGTGTGAAATTGCCAATTAAACATCATACTGGAAAAGGTTCAAAAGAGACTGTAGTTCATTCATTCATCTTCAGTAACCGCTTTCGGTAATAAACCCTGAACTGGACACCAGTATATCTCAGAGTTCTGTAATGTTATAACCAGTTTTGTAATCTACTTCAAAAAACAGGAAGTCAGCACAAGAATGAAACTCGTTTTTTCCAGTACGCATATTGGAAAAAGTATTTTTAACACTAAAAATAGATTTCAGTGCTGAACCCCTATTGAGAGTGTATATTAATCCAGCAGTAGGCTTAATGAGTGTCTGGAAAAAAAAAAAAAGACCTCAAAAGGCCAGGATGTCTTGGAGGCATCATATCAGCGGTTCTTGAGGCATCAAACAGATTGCTGTTTGCTGACTCTTCAATATTCACTGTATTAAAATTGCAAAAGGAGCCTCATCTAAACGCTTCCTTTCTTCCCTTGGCTGTCTGCACTTGCCTGGTGTGTTGGGACCCCCAAAATTGCTGGGAAACACGCACTCCTACATCCACGCAACCTTCACATGTTCAGGGGCTATTTTATATTTGGTGATTTTGTTGAAATGGGGTTGAAATATGAAAACGAAAAGATCATAAGTATCGTTGAGCACGAGGCGTTTGTTTTGATGTTGACCGACTTGTTGACCGACGGCAGATGTCTTCAACAGGGAACTTTTTCCACATCAGCAAAATACTGCATACTAAAATCACCCGTGTTAAATGAACCCTGACAGAATAGATGTGAACCAACAGAGTTAAAATGTAATTAGTTCAACTTTCCAGGAATTGGTTTAACAGTGCTAGGTTGAGAATGAAGCCATATATTTAGCGGTGGCTAAACTGGAAAAAAAAATATTTGATGTCACTCTCTGCGCTAATAAATGTCAGTTAGTGTAACACAATTCGTCTTCTGCCATAATGTGAGAAGTTGAAGGAAGGAAAAGACCTGAGTGTCTTCTTGGCTGCTGGCAATGTTCTCTGAGTTGTCACCTGTTAGTGCTGCCACAACACAACTTGTATCAAATGTAAATATTCCTATTCCCTTTTTCCAGTGCTTGAGCAATAGCGTACCTGTAGCAGACTAAGAATATATTGTACCCTGTCCTATGACACATGTCTTCCCGGGCTTTATCTTCTCTAGTGAGACTGTATAGGGTCCATTTTAAACTCTGTCAGTACAGAATGAATGTAATAAAAATAACTAGTGAAAAGGAAAAAAACCTATTTTTGGTCAGCAGGTGCTTAGAAATGCCAGCCTGCCTCACACTAAGTCTCAAACTTTGTGTGCAGTTCAGATGACACCTTCATAACTCTTCAGTGTAGCAGATTTTCAGGAGGCATTGCCCTTGGAATGCAGTATTTCAAGATCCAAATATTTATGAAGACATGTTAATTTGTAATACACCCTTTTCACCATTGTACATCACCAAGCAGCAGACCAAATAAACTAAAATGTAGGGGAAATAAAAATCTTGTTACTTTAAAAGCTTTGTTTAGGGACTGGAGGGGATGTAATTTGAGGTTTGGTATACTGGGCTTTTTTTTATTGACCATTGGGCTGCTTTTATCACACAGACCTGGCAACCCTGACCAACGTGCTTGACTGATTTCTGGCAATTAATTCCCATATACCACAAATCATACATTCAGAAAACCCACCAGAAAACTCCCATAGTAAGTATGTTTTTATGTCTCCGCCACTAGGTGGTGGTCCGTGCGTCCGTCAGTCCGTGCGTCTGTTCAGTCCATGCGTCCGTCAGTCTGTGCATCCCTCTAAGATTCTCGTCTGCACGCTATCGCAAGAACAAGTGGCTGAATAATTATAGGATTTAAACGGAAATATCATTGGGGTCCCTGGTGGTCTAGTGGCTAAGGATCTAGTGGTCTCACTGCTATGGCCTGGGTTCAAATCCTGGGCAAGGAACCAATCCATCCACTGGGAGTGTACTCTCAGTGCTGGTCCCAAGCCCAGATAAAATGGGAGGGTTGTGTCAGGAAGGGCATAAAACCTGCACCAAATCAAACATGTGCACCAATGATCCACTGTGGCAACCCCTAAAAGGAGCAGCAGAAAGAACACCACCACGTGGGATATTAACGGTAACCAGAAAATGAACTGAATAGATAGTGGAATTGATCCAAACAGGGTGAAGAACACAGCAAGGTCAAATGTCTGAAATAGTTTTGCTTCAATAGCTTCTTTCCTGTTTTGAAGTAATATTTAAGGGGACTTCAGGTGTACAAAATAGTAACAAGAAAGACTAGATTTCTTGGTGGTAGAGGTATCCCATCAGTGCAGTTGGAGTCAGGTTCTACTTGTTTTGGCCTAACTTCCTTTTGAAAAGTGCTGAGAACAAGAATGATGGGGGACAAAAAAAACCTGTATGATCAGTTAGACACCAGGCTAGTCACATCATTTTCTTGTCAGTCTCATGCATGTTTCACAATTCTGTTTCCATTCTAACTAGCATCTGAATCCACGCAACCTTAAAAAGTGCCACTGAAAAGTAAAAAAACAGCACTGTCAGCATAGTCTGTGAATTCTGGCTCTGACAGTTCCTCAACCTCAGCTACGTCACTCAAGTTCATAATTGGTCTCAGCTAGTGATGTGTGTGGGATTTTTTTTTTTTCAATCCTGCTCACTCAGTTATTATTTTTGTTTGTACCTGTCAGCACAATTTTCTAATATATTTAGATGACTCTAATTTCAAAACATATAAACAAACTAGTAGCCTCATTTAATCCACCACAACCCTGACCAGGCAGTTACTAACGATGAATGAAAGAAGGATTTACATTCATGTTACTTTGTTTGTTCCACAAGCTTTACATCCTGACCAATCGCTTGTGCCCTCATGAAAGTAAAAAATCTCTCACTCACAGAACTTTTTTCTCTTGCATTCTGTGATATCTCCTATTCCTATCTGTATTTTTTTTTATGTTTATAACACATTATCTGTTCATTCTGAGTCCTTAATACACAAACATGTTGTCACACCTAAGGGCAATTTAGGTAGCCAGTCCACCTACGGCCATGTTCTTCCAGAGAACCCGGAAGAAACCTGAAGCAGACACTAGGAGAGCATGCAAAACTTGACTCGGAGCGTAACCTGAGCTCAGGATCAAACTGGGGACCCTGAAGCTCTGAAGCAGCAACACTACCCTCTGCACCACCATGCTACTTTCTAATGAGTTAGAATTTGCTACAAATAGTTGCCACAATGTACCTCAGTAGAGTTACAGTGTATCATAATAAAGTCATACTTAATCCACAGTGAATTTTCATAATCTTTTCATTATCTTAAAACAAACAAGTTCGACCAACTTTATTCCCACCAAATTACTGAATCAGATTTACTCCCCTTTTTCTCATGTGCTGTGAGTCCATTAGAAATTAAAGCTGCCTCTGTAATTCTACTTTGTTTAATGCAGCGTGAACACACAGTAAACATGAATGTGGGTTTATTTGCGTCCCTTTTTTTTTTGGTTCCTTTTTTGGTTCGACTTGCCTGTTGCTCTTTTAACTCCAATCTCTTCCACCTTAAAACTGACCCCAGATCGGCTTGAGCGCTCGTGATCAGGCGCTTAGTGGCACAAGACTCTGATCCTGGATCAGTTGTGTTTACTAAGCAGGGCCCGATTCCCAAAGCTAGTCCCTCCCCTCTCTCTCTCTCTCTCTCTCTCTCTCTCTCTCTCTCTCTCACTGTCTCTCTCTCTCTCGGATCCCAGCGCTGTCATTCACTCAGCTTTCAGTTTAACACGCCGACTTGAAAAAAAAGGGCAGAAAAAAGGAAAAGCAGCGCGAGCTTGTCTATTTTTCCACACTTTTTGTACCCTTTGGTCGAGGGAGCTACAAGGCTTAGCGCCCACACAAGGCAAAGCGCATTATTTTGCCAGGAAAGAAGTCGAAACTGTTGCTTTCAGTGCTGAGCGTTAGCCTGCTCTGTCTGTACTGCTTTACATTTCCTCTTTTTTCCCCCCCTTCAGCTGCTGGATTGTTGAAGAAGCAGCGTCCATAGCTTTCCACTCTATCTCTCTCTCTCGCGCGTGGGTGTGTATCAACGTGCATGTAGGACGTTTCCGGTTCTTTTTTTTTTTTTTTTTTTTTTGAAATCCGTGAGTAGTGGCGCTGGAGCTCGAGCTTTATGTGTGTGTGAACGCCCAGCTTGTTGACCGGTGGGCTGAAGTTTAGTTTGCAGCGCTCGCGCCCAGTGACTGCCACACTGCTGCAGTGAGAGCGCGCGCTGCGCGGCGGAACATTACACTAACCCTCGATTTCTGTTCTTTTCTTTTCTTTTCGCTTTTTTTTTTTTACACGTTTACTTATCGCAAGAGGTGCTTTTAGAGGAAAGAGGACTGCTCGTGTGTTCCTCGCTCCACCACCACCACCACCACCTCCACCGTGCGGACAGAAGGGGCACATTTCGCCTCGTGCACACTCGAGGAGGAGAAAAAGACTGCGATTTTTGACGGGATTTTATAAAAGTCTGAGCCACTTTCATGCACTGAAAAGACCCGGAGGAGGAGGAGGAGGACGTGGTGGAAGAAGAAGAAGAAGAAGAAGAAGGTCAGTCTCAGGAGTGTCGGCTTAATTCTGCGTTTTTCCAAACGAAACAAACACCTAGAAAAGGTTAGTACATTTTGTTTTTTTTTTCTTCCGTTTTCTTTGTTGGTCCACAGGTGTGAGTGTTTCAGTGCGCGTGTGTGTTCATGTTGCATCTCATGCACTATTACTGTTTATTTCTTTTATTCTAATTATTATGATCTTCTACCCAAATTGTTTGCAAACATACTGGTCACGTTGTTTTCCTCTCAGCCCATGTTTAAAGCAGACACCCATATCCGTGTGGTTGGAGTGTTGAGCTCGTAGAAACTATTTTGTGGTATTTATTTATTTATTTATCTATCTATCTGTTTATTTTGAACGGTATGTCCTTGTCTTCTCCAGAAGACAGACTGGATGCGGAAGTAGCCAAGCCATGAAGCTTCCATGACATCTCAGACCTTCCCTAAATGATCACTCACACACACACACACACACACACATGTAGACGCACGCGGTGTTGTTTTCGTAATGCGTAAAAAAGAAAGCATTCGGTGCATTAGCTAGTTGACGCGCGCGCACACACGGACGCACACACCGCATCATGCCAGTGTCACGTCGATCGAAAACGGAGCACGCGACGTGAAGTGAAGTGTTTTGCCGAGAGTAGACTATAACGAGCGCGGGTGAGCGTGCACGCGCACGCGAAATCACTGTAATTAGCCACCGGTGGCTTTAATTAGGCGATTGTGACCAGGCGAGTCGGAAGAGCGGGTTGAAAACGCAGGGACGAGCGGGAGATTTGCCGCTTCACGACTATAAAGCTCACCTCATTAATCAGGGGCAAGCAGTCGGCGGCGCTCGAGCCGCGTGACGTCATGGCGCTAGTGCGCTGAGGGGGGAAACCCTGCGGTTTGTTCTTCAGGATGGAAAGACACCCAGACTGAAGCCCCAGGCGCCTCCTCACTGGACACATGGTGCACTACCTAGCGTGCAACATCTTCATTACTCCATTCCCTCACACCCTGCGCAGTGCACTTGTATATGGAGTGTTAATGCATTGGGAATCGCGCCAGGATCAGGGATCAGACTCCTCCTCAGCAAAACCCTAGCCCTGTTTGTAGTATAAACTCTACTGTAGTATAAACTCTACACATACTGTAATCTCTGATCATTTGTCCCATTTTGAAGTGCCTCTGAAAGTACCTCATAAATTGCAGTTTTGCATCTTTTTGCATGATGTATACTATATCAAGAAAAATATATCAAAAATAGTTTTGGAGATATTCTCCTTTGAATTGTTTCTCGTTGACTAATTCCTGTACTAGTCTCATGATCGTTCAATTAAAGACTCTCCAGAATGTACACTATACCATCACACCTGACCATCACACCCATACGTGGTTCTTCCGAAAGTAGCCACAAAGCTGGAAGCACACAATTGTCTAGTCTTTGTATGCCGTAGCATTAAGATTTCCTTTCACTGGAACTAAGGGGCCCAAGCGTGTTCCAGTATGACAACTGTATGATGCTATATAATAACATTTCTGCATTACAAAAATCACTGGCCAGATGGTGCATTGGACTGAGTTCGGTTAATTCGCTCCTTTTGATTAGCTCGCATGAAAAGATTTGTACGGCCCTGATCTTTACAATTAATACCTGGCACAAGCAAAAAATATACTTAGTAATATCTTGTAATTGTAATGTCCTCTCATGCTACCATTAACAAAGAAATGTTATTATATAAACAGTATGAATATTCCAGTTTCAGCATTTGATTAAAGCAAATACTCATAAAAAAATACACAGAGAGGCAAAAATGTGTGTATATTTCTTCTTTTTTTTTTTTGGTTAAGGAAATTCTGTGGTCCTGGGAAGTGACAACCCACTCAAACCTTCCATTACAAAATGGAATTTTACATCACGAAACACTCATGTGCACCATCACAGGACATGTGCTGCTAAAATGGGACCTTTTCTGTTTTGAAAGCAGAATAATTGGGAACATTCATGGTACTCTTTGCATGTGCAAGCATGCTCATCTGACTTTCTCTGGCGAGGAAAAAAAAAAACTGCTGTTGCAGCACAGTCACTCAATGCATGCCCAGTCATCTGAGTGATTAATGGAAGGAACGTGAGAGTAAACCTACTCTTTAGGGCTGCAATTATTGTTAATTTCATGAATCAACTACCACTTTGATTAATCAGATAATTGGGTCATGTAACTAAGAAGACAAACAAACAAACAAAAAAAACAAAACATGTATGTACAACATTATTATATTGCTTATTGTATTGAGCAAAGTTCTTATGTAATTAGAAACTTAATGCTATGAATTGTATGTATGTAAATGGTTTAACTTTATTTTATATAAAC